GCAACAAAGATGGGCACTCCAGCGCCGGCAGATGCAGGTCCTGGCGGGAGATTGCAGCGTCAGAAGACACGGCGGCACGACAACAGCGGCGACGAGGGGCACGCAGCAACTGAGCGACCGAACGCGCCGCCGTCGCCAGCTGCCTGAGGGCTGGCCGTCGTGAGAGGCACGGGCCACAGGTGAAGCTTGCAAGGTGATTTGTTGGAGGCGCCCAGCACTCTGACGCTGTCAGCCGTTGCGCGCTCTCGACCCGCCTTCCACGCTGCAGTAACTTTCAATGCGCATGGATCATTACGTAGCGTTCCGGAGAGACACCGTCGACCGTGTTTCATGTCACACGAGCACGTGGCGGTGCACTCGTGACAGCCACACCAACAGAGCGAACCACGGCTACCGTCTCGCAGTGCCCGAGTGAGCACCAGCCGAGGCCGGGGTTGCGGTGCGGTGCGTCAGGGCTGAAGCTATCGTCTACCGTTAGTCAGGAACTGAGCGGAACATGCCACCTGCATCGGCGCATCCGTACGACCATCCACGTAGCCATTCTAATACCTAGGTAGCCACCTTTCCTCGTATCAACAATTTCAGACTCAGCTCCTTCTGCGATCTCCGCCAAACCTACCCGTCGAGTACACCGCTTCAACGGTGTAGACACATTTCTCTGGTCTCCATGTGTCCTTCTACTAATCCGTGGTGGGGCAGCGGCTACCTGCCTAGGTAGGTAGCAAGCACCTGGGCAGGGTCAGCCTCCTCACGTAGGCCGTAAAGCGCGACATGTACACCCACCAGGAGCACCATCATCAAGAGCAGGAACTGTTCTCCTGAACATCTCCAATTCTTGACGTGGGTCAAGATGGCAATCTGTCAGCGTCTCAACTCTGCCATAGGAGTGCCTCGAGCGGGGCGTGTTCTTCATTCCCGGCATCGTGAAGCTTGCCATTCCCTCGCAGGCACCTTCAGAAGCTGGGGGTCGGCGTCCGAGGAGCCCGCACACCATCGCAGCATTTCAAGCACTAGAGCCTCCCCGCGCATCCATGTCCTGGGCCTGGGAAGTGTAGGCACTTTCACAGCTCACTCGCTTGCCGAGATACCCGCAAGGCCAGTAGTAAACCTGCTGCTACATCGTCCTTCTCTCATGAACGAGTACCTAAGAAACGGGAAGAGACTTCTACTGCAGACTTGCGAGGGCCAACAGATTGCCCGAACGGGTTATGACGTGGAAATATTGTACGGAAAAGAATGGCACACGGTGCAAGAGCTGTGCATAGCTGGGAATGCTGAGGTACTACAGCTACCAGGACCCCCAACTGACGAAACTATCAACGATCTTGTCGTATGCGTCAAGTCTACGCAGACTGTGGCAGCCCTCCGACCTCTTCTACCCCGACTCTCGCGCACGTCAAATGTCACATTCCTGCAGAACGGAGCAGGCATGATAGAAGACGCAAATATGTTCTTGTGGCCTGATCCACACACGCGACCAAATTATATTACGGGTGTCATCTCCCATGGTATCACTCTGAACGGGCCCTTTGATGTCACCCACACAGGGCCAGCAGCAACATCGGTAGGCCCCGTCCCGCGAGAAGATGGCGATGTATCACAAGCACCTTCGCCTCTCCTGGAACTCCTACCTCTTGCACCTCGCCTGAACTGTCGGTCTTACCCATGGCCCACCATACTCCAGATACAACTAGAAAAGCTTGCCTGTAACGCTCTCAGCAACCCTATCTGCGCGCTCGAAGATGCCGTAACCGCATACATATTAAGCATCCCAGAAACCAATACGAGGCTCATGCAAGAGATCTCGTCTGTCATCCTCGCTTTACCAGAACTACAGGGCGTAGAGGGAGTAAAGGAAAGGTTTTCAGCGAAAGCCTTGCATGCTACTGTTATGGATATAATCGAGAAGAACAGAGCGACGACCGTTAGCATGGTATGGGATATGAGGCATAGAAGAGAGACTGAAATCAGATACATCAATGGATACTGGGCAAGGCGAGGACGAGAAGTGGGTGTGAGAACGCCGCTAAACGACGAGTTGGTAGAGAAGGTACAGGCGATGACGAAAGACAGACTGCAAGAGACAAAGTCGTGATATGAACATTCGATTGCATGCTTAGAAAAGCTTTGACATTGACCAGTTTTCGCGTTTGCTGCCACGCAGGTGATGATGCATAGTTACTAAGAACATGCTGGCAAAGTGGTTCCGCTACCATGGAATTCCCACGAAGCTAAGGATGCGCCCCACTTCCAGATGTCTCGACTTCTTCACCCATATCGATTGCGTGTTTGATGCGACACAGTTCCATTGTGGATTAGTCTTGTTGCGAAGAATGTCGTCGTCAAGGACACTTCGAGCTGCGAGTGCACGCATCCGGTAGCAATACTATGCCGCAGACTTGGTAGCTCACGCCACCTGGGCTGACAAACGGCGTGGTATGCTGCGCGTCGCGTTACTATGGTGCAGCATCCCACATGCACCCGATGCACTCGCACGAGACAGGCCCAACAATGGCGCTGGCCGGTAAAGACCGGACATGACCTCATTGCTGTAAACTTCGCGGACCCTTAAAGGTAGCTGCGCCCAACAGCCTGCCATCACCACATCAAACAAACTACTTTCTTAGCATCCAAAGCTTCATCTCTCTGACAGCTTGGCAACATGGCGCAAGATCTACGATCGCAGGATATCAAAAACCCAATCGACGTCGCAGAGGTAAGTCATGGGTTGTACACGCGTGTGAAAGTGCGCTAGCTCACAAGAACCCCAGTACCTGTTCCGTCGACTTCAGCAAGTCGGCGTTGAGTCCGTCCATGGCGTTCCAGGAGACTACAACCTCGTCGCACTCGACTACATCCCCAAAGTCGGCCTGAAATGGGTGGGCAACTGCAATGAGCTGAATGCTGGTACGTAGAGCCTGTTCTTGCGTTCTGGCTATCAGCGGCTCGCTTGCGGGAGCGACCGAAGTCGATCCGTCTGTCTCATGCGATAGATGCTGACGATCATTACAGGTTACGCCGCAGACGGCTACGCACGAGTCAAGGGCATTTCTGCATTGGTAACCACCTTCGGCGTGGGTGAATTGTCTGCTGTCAATGCCATCGCCGGAGCCTACTCGGAATATGTCCCAATCGTCCACATCGTCGGCTACCCATCGACGGTATCTCAGAGGAACGGAGCGCTGCTACATCACACTCTTGGAAATGGCGACTTTACGGTCTTCTCGCGCATGTCCAAGGAGATCTCGTGTGCTGTCTCGATGCTCAACAGCCAGCATGAAGCGGCCATGCTGATCGACAACGCCATTCGGGAATGCTACCTGAAGTCAAGGCCTGTCTACATCTCCTTGCCTAGCGACATGGTAACGAAGAAGGTCGACGGCGATCGCCTCAATACTCCGCTTGATCTGGATTACCCGCAAAACGACCAAGAAGCCGAAGACTACGTCGTTGACGTGGTACTGAAGTATCTGCACGCGGCAAAGAACCCCGTCATTCTTGTAGATGCATGCGCTATCCGCCACCGAGCATTGAAGGAGACTCACGAGCTCATCAAGAAATCTGGAATACCCACATTCGTCGCCCCAATGGGAAAGGGTGCGGTAGACGAGACTCTGCCGAACTATGGTGGTGTTTACGCCGGAGATGGTTCAAACGCTGGTGTGCGTGAACGCGTCGAGTCGTCCGACCTCGTGCTCAGCATTGGTGCTATCAAATCCGATTTCAACACTGCAGGCTTCACCATCCGCATGTCACAGCTTACGACTATCGACCTACACAGCTACGGATGCAAAGTACGATACTCGGAATATCCTGGTGTTAGAATGAACGGTGTTCTTTCCAAAGTCACAGCCAAGCTTGGAAAGCTGAACATCGAATCTGGACCCAACCCGAACAACAACGTCCCGGACAAGGAGACTTCATCGACAGAACCAACCATCAAACACGCCTGGTTCTGGCCAAAGCTTGGTCAGTGGTTGAAGAAGGATGATGTCCTCATCACCGAGACTGGCACCTCCAACTTCGGCATCTGGGAGACTCGCTTCCCAGCAGGCGTCAACGCCATCTCGCAAGTCCTCTGGGGCTCCATCGGTTACGCAACCGGTTCTTGTCAAGGCGCTGCCCTCGCCGCAAAAGAGTCAAACATCAAGCGCACCATCCTATTTACAGGTGACGGTTCCTTCCAACTTACCGCTCAAGAAGTCTCTACTATGATTCGAAACAAGCTGGCTCCCATCATCTTCGTCATCTGCAACAAGGGCTACACAATCGAGCGACTCATCCACGGATGGGAAGATTCCTACAATGACGTCCAGGAATGGAAGTACAAGGACATTCCCCGCGTCTTCGGCGCTGAAGAAGGCAGTGTACTCACATATAGAGTGGAGACGAAGGAGGAGGTTGAGAAGTTGTTCCAAGACGAAGAGTTCAGCAGTGGCGAGACGCAGAAGATGCGGTTTGTTGAGTTGGTCATGCCGTGGGACGATGCCCCGGCGGCTTTGAAGGCAGTTGCTGCTGCGGCGGCTAAGACGAATGCTAGTGCGGAGTAGACAATGGATCGAGGGAACGACAGGTAGTTGACGATGTATTAGCAAGGCGAAGACAATAGGGTATGGCATTGCGTAGGATTCTCTTCTCTTATACGAATGATGACAACATGACTCTCTTCATGTACAAAATTCCCATTGATACTTGCATGTCGTCTTCATAATATCAGCCTTTTATTGCTGTTGCCCCCTACGAGCACGTCGTCGCCGTCCACATCCACGGCAAACGTCAGAGAGGGAGTTTTATTGATTCCTACAGTTGTATACAGCGAATACAAGGTGTTGGAAATACACCTGCATTGAGATCACTATATAGAGTTACCGACTGCGTTTTGTTGCCCTGCTCTACATCAACACTTCACCGTAATAACATGAGCCTTTATGGCCACAGAACCAGACAGCAGCTATCGAGCTAAACTTCCATACTCATGACGCTGGCGTCGCCTCTACGTCTTAGGGGTCGTCATTATCCACATCCTTGTCCCCATCCTGACCTTTATCCGTAGCCTCGTTCTTATACTCATCTGTAAATGGGTTCTGGTTCCGACCTTGGTCCTGGTCATGGGCATTCGCCGCGTTCTGGCCGTAGAAGCTCCATACCACATTATCCCAGTGGTCTGCAGTAATCGTCTTACCAGCAAACATCTTGAGCATGTATGAGAACTCCTCGTCAGAAAGACTACCCTGAGGAGGCACATAGGAGGACCCATCAACTGCAGGGATGTGCGAATCTGCAGATGGCGCATCGGTTGTCAGTGGGCGAACTCGCTGCAGTGTGTTCTGATACTCCAGATGGTTGACGGACTCTCTAAGACGGATGTAGAGTTGGTTCATGGCGTCGACCATGTCGCGGGTGTCGTTCTGTTGGTCTTCTAGCGCTTTGATACGGGCTTCCATATCGTTATTCGCTGCAGTACCGGTAGTAAGAGGTCCAACACCTGTATCATGATCTGTTGAAGTGGAACGAGAGGGTTCCACGTGAGGTTCCTTCTGCTCTTCTTTCTTCTCCTTAGCTACATAGGGAACGAAGTTGACTGTCTCGCCGTCTGTAGTCTGGATTTGGATAGCGCGTGAAGAGCGTTTGGGCTGCGAAGTAGCTGTCCTGCGGTTCGATTGACCAGCCTGGTTCTGAGCCGCGTAACGGAACAGATCTCCAGAGGAAGAGATTGATGGGGAAGAGCGAGTGGGCAGAGACATCCTTGAAGCCTCGTCCACCGCGCGACTAGCTTGTTGTCCGGTCCGCAGACCAGAGAGCTCGTCCATTGCTTGGTCGCCGTCATGCTGAGAGCCTTCATTTTGGGGTACGTTAAGGCTTGGTGGAAATACGGCGCTTGGTCGAGTTTGATTGATTGTGTTTCCATGTACACCAATTGTCAGCCTGCCGTTGAAGTCCTCGCCAGATGGCCCTCTGCCAATTGCACTATTGAGTCCCATCCTTCCAAACTGAGATAAGCCGTCATTGACGGAAGGGCTGCGATCTGGCGCGGGTCCTACAGCGCCACTGTCGTGCCCACCGCGGTTGTTGGTGCGCTCAGTTCTGTTCGAGCCTCTGTCTCTTCCCTGTTTTCCCCTTCCGGACTCATTGCGACGGCCACGCGACTGTGTATCGCGAGGGCCCGTAGGCGCGTTTGCTGGTGGGGCGGGGGGATCTGGTTCATTCTCGCTATTCGCGCCGCCTGGAGCCCACTTTGAGCTGTTCATAGTCCTTTTGTTGTGATTCCGCGTGGATTTGTGCTTGTGTGTCAAAGAGCGTGACTGATCCGAGTTGGAATGCGGGATGAGAGCCCGAGCTGATGCTTAATGTAGGAAAGAGCAATCGCGTCAAGGAGAGCAAGCATATTTGCTCAAGCAAGCAGTGCGAAAGGAGTGCAAGATAAAGCACGAGACTGCAAGTGTAGCTCACAGTGCGTAGAAAAAGTCAGCAGGCTCGTGCTTTGAGTTAGCGCAGGGAAACGATACGTCAGCTCAGCTCGCGTTTGCTGTGCCGTGTGCGCACTCTCATTTCGCCATCTGGATTTTGTAGAACTAACAGGTCGAGGTCGGATGGACACAGACAAGGGCCTTAGATCGACTCTCGGATTCTGTGGGTAAGTAAGTCTGATCTATCCACTTCTTTCTCATGTGCGTTGTATTCTTGCATGCGAATGCAATCCATATGTATTCATCTATCGTTCCCTCGTATTATGTTCATGTACCAGCCACCTCTTTTTGTCCTTTTCTCAACATCTTCTTACTATACTCATCTTCTGTTCCTAAACTCTTTCCCTACAAAGCGATAGCAAAACCCACGGCTACAACCGCAGTGCTAATCGCCGTCCACAATGTCCTGCCACCAATCATGGCGCCACTCGCGTCACCCGAAGCAGGGCCGCTCGAGCCCTCGCCATCTCCCGTTGGGCTCGGCCTCGGGGGTGGGAAGCTTGTGTTGGACGGCACGTCGGTAAGGTTCTGCACGGTAATCCAGGTCGCCGCCAGAGCAGTCGTCAGGTTCGCGTCAGCCGCAAACTGGCTGACATTGAAGCCGACCCTGTTGTCCGCCAAGTCCGCGTACATGGAGGGTATGCTGAAGTTGCGCGGTTGTTGCATGAGGATGAATGTGTAGCTGTGGGGGCTGTCACCCACTGGAGGTGAGGGCTGGAGGTATGGGACGGGGTTGTCCGACGGAATGTCGAGGGCTGAGCCAGTTGTGTTCGCGGAGATGGGAACAGAGCGTGTGACGTTGGTAGCGATCCAGTGGACTAATTGGACGCGCGAGTTGTTACGGGGCACGTCGAGGTCGACCATGAGGAGGACGCATTGGCCGGGGCCTCGCTCGTCGGAAAACCATACTGGCGACGAGACGGTTGGGGCTGCAGCAGTTTCTGGTGGTGATCAGTGTTAGTTGGTGCTTAGCAGTACTCGGCTCGACTGCGCCGCGACGACAGCGGATGGAACGTACCGGGACGAGGAATGCGCTCTCCGCCGGGCGACACGGTATTGTTGCCGTACGTCACGGTCAAGTTCTGAGTGACGTCGATGGGAAAGCCAGGCGCTGATCCCGCTGTCGCAACACGTGCGAGTAGCGCAGTCGCGCTGAGGACGGTCTTGGTGAACATGGTCGGTGTCTTGGCTGGTGTTGTAGTCGGCGTTGTTGTGGAGCGGGTCGTACTGTTGTGATGCAGTTGGTGCTTGATGGTCGAAAAGCAACGGGCGCAAGCAGCTTCTTTAGTATTTTGGCTGAACCTGCGTCGGCTGCGGGAGCGTAGGGCTTGATGCGCAGCTAAAGGCCTATTTCCGTGTAGCCGGCGTGACAGCAGAGGTTCATGACGTTTACCAAGACTCGGTCCCTTGCTCGGGGTATCGCACGGCCAGCGGACGGCATCCCGGCACAGCTCAAGAAAAGGCTGGGGCTGGCCGCCTGAGGGGCCTTGTTCATGCCGCAGCCAGAATTATTCCAAGCATTGCGCTGGTCGCCTCGGCCTCAGGAACATCGTCAATCGTATTTACCATGTTGTCCGCGAGTGTATGTAAGCACGCGTCGTTATTTGGTTGCGGTTGCGACGCATGCTCGCCTAGTTGGGGCCCAGGAGACGGGAGCCGGCTGAACATCCAGCTATTCAGGCCGCCCTCATCGCACGATGCCTGCAATTAAGCCACGCATGAATCAAGTATGCCTGAGATTTGTCTATGCTCTATGGTTTCGAGACCTTGCATCCTCATATGGACTTATCGGCGACAGCCCTATCACCTCTCGCTCGGGATGCAGACGTTGTGTCCGCACAAGCGCAATGGTATCAGAAGCCGCGCCTCATCACCATCCTCCAGGGCTATTATAAGGTGATCATGTGGTCTCGCGCAGGGCCGACACCGATCCATTTGACCTTAACTCCGACGAACTTCTCAATGTACTCAATGTAACTCCTCGCTTGGCTGGGCAGGTCGTAGTAGCTTGTCACGCCAGTCGTCGGCTTCTTCCAACCTGGCAGTGTATCGTATTGTACTTCGACTTGGGCAAGGATCTCGGGGTTCGCGGGGAAGCCTTCAAGCACCTCGCCCTTGTACGAGTAGGATGTCGCAACCTTGAGCTCGTCAAAGTCATCCAGAACGTCGAGCTTGGTGAGGTTGATGGCGGTGTAGTCGTTGCACGCGTGTGAGTGCTTGACAACGACCAGGTCGAGCCAGCCGCAGCGGCGCTTGCGACCGGTTGTAACGCCGACTTCATGGCCCACTGATTGAAGCTTCTCGCCCACCTCGTTGAGCTGCTCGGTAGGGAAGGGTCCGCTACTACTTGTTAGCCTCTGAATTTATCTTTCGGTGCGATGCAACTCACGATCCGACACGGGTAGTGTATGCCTTGACCACGCCAATGACCTCCTTCAGTGACCGCCATCCCAAGTTGAGACCTGTGATGACACCTCCAAGACCAGTGTTTGACGATGTGACGAAGGGGTATGTGCCGTAGTCGATGTCCAGCATCAGCGCGTTCGCACCCTCGACGAGGATTTTGGCGTTCTTCTCCTTTGCCGATGCGAGGAGCGGGATCTGGTCGACGACGTAGGGAGCAAGCTTCTCGCGCAGAGTCTTTGGCATTGTCAGTCTTTGTTCCGTATATTCCAACCCCATTGTGACTCACCTTGTACTTCGTAATCTCCTCTTCCACATCGTACTTGAGTAGATCACCGTATCGCTTCTGGAACGAGTTGGCTAACCTCCTGAGCTTCGTCTCGAAGATCTGCTCGTCGAAGAGGTCGCACATGCGGAGGCCGCTCCTGGTCATCTTGGTGCTGTAGGTTGGGCCGATACCCTTCTTGGTCGTGCCTGCATCCCGCCATCAGCACGTCAGTCCCGCAGCAGGCGCGTGTGCTCCTCACCAATCATGCCACCACCCAATTCCACCTCCTCCAGGCCATCCACCATCTGGTGCACATCAAACACGACATGGGCGCGGTCCGAGATGAATATTCTTCCGTCCGTCTTCAATCCGTGTTTCTCCAGCGCTTCCAGCTCCTTGAAGAAACTGGGTACGTGAACAACGCAGCCACTTCCGATGACATTGATGCAGCCGGGATTCACGAGACCGCTCGGGAGGATATGGAAGTCGTACGTGACGCCGTTCGCGACAATGGTGTGTCCGGCGTTGTTACCACCCTGGGCGCGGGCGCAGATTTGCGACTCATGGGCCAGGATATCGGCCAATTTTCCTTTTCCTTCATCTCCCCACTGTGCTCCGAGCACCACAGTAGTCGACATCGTGAAGGCGGGAGACAAGAAGGAAAGAGCGGAGGGGCGGCAGGTGGGTTTTCAATTCCGCGTTGACTCGATCTAACAAATTCGTGCCCCACCCATCACCCCGCGATGCCGCAATTTTCCGCACGAGCCACCAGTGACGCATGTGAATGAGCCGCAACCATGTGTCTGGGCTGATCTGCAATCTTCGCAATCACAGCCTCTACATTGCTGTACAGCTACGTCGTTATCGTGGTAAACGCGTCAAGAAATTAAGAAATCTCATTTCTAATATCTACAAACACTCCCAGTGGAAATTTAGTCACATCCAGACCTATCCTCCTAACCGCGCCAAACACCCGGACCCGGCGGCTGATATGTCTCTGGCGCCGATGTGTACTTGTTCAGGTCGACAAGAATTCCCGGATCATTACTTCTGCGGCCTCATGTTAGCATGTTCTTGGTGCTCATCAGTTTGACTTACTTGTAAGCACCCGGGAACGCAACTAGCGGGCTCGGCAGCCCAGCTCCTCCCCCTGTTATCTTGATCTGCGAGCAAGCCAGGTAGAACTGCGCTTTGTTCGCTTGCATAGCCATGTGCAGTGCGATGTGCTCAACGCGGAGCAAGTAATCACCCGATGGCGTGGCAGCAGGGATTGTTGTGTTGGGTGTGAGATACTCGTCTGCGAAACGTCATTAGTACACGCGAAGTGAAGAGAAGGAACAGCTCACTCTGTCCTGGCCAGCTCATCTGTTTCTGCGCGTTTACGGTCGGCATCGTGGTACTAATCTTGAACCACACTGCACCACTTCCATCCCAGCTCTTCACATCCTTGCCATCGGGAACTTTGGCGAGGTAGTATTGCGTTGGTCCCGGGTGATTGACTTGTTGCGTGGATATGTAGTGAATAGTTGATCCGGCCGGTACGCTTGCGACGTTTGGCGCGGTTTTGGAGGTGTAGCAGCGAATGTCCGCGACAGTGGGGTTCTGGCCAAAGTAAGTATCATAGACACATCATGGGCCAGTGGTAATTCGAAGAGTATCTTACCTCGATGCC